GTGGGGTTTTACACCATTTCGACCCCCTTTATTTCCCCTCCCTCTTTTTAAAAAATATGTTATTTAAAAAAAAAATATGTTACTTTCGTAGTTAGATCTCTAGTCTTCAGCACTATTCTTTGTTACCTTATTGTGTTGCAAGTGCTGTAAAACTTTTACTGAAAGTAATTTTTTTCCTTGTGTACACCTCAGGGACCGTGATGTGCCGGGCCTGGACACAGTGATCCCCCTTGAGTCAACAGCAGCCTACGACATGCATGACGTCATCACTGGGGTGAGAATATTTTAATAACAATAATAATAATTGCATTTGTATAGCGCATATTCATGCTCTAGAGCATGCTCTATGCGCTTTACAACTATATACCCCAGCAGACCCTCTGAGAACACTCAGAAACATTTTCGGCTTCCGCGGAAGCATACAGTGCAAGCGGATTTCACGAGCTCAAACAATATCAAACTGACAAGATCGTTCACTGTCTATAGCCGGGTACCCATTTTCACCTTCTGAAGTGAGGAAAATTTGTGCAAAGTGCCTTTCCCAAGGACACAACGTCGGGTCCCTGGCGAGATTCGAACCCACGACCTTACGGTTGCAAGTCCGAGAGCCTAACCACAAGGTGTTTGTATGTGTGTGTGTTTGTGTGTGTGTGTGTGTGTGTGTGTGTGTGTGTGTGTGTTCATGGTGTGTGTGTGTTCATGGTGTGTGTGTGTGTGTGTGTGTGTGGGGGGGTGGGTGGTATTATTGTGTGTGTGTGTACTGTTAAACCTGTCCAAGACAACAATACCCACTTCCCCTACCCCTCCCCCTCCAATTATTAATTGCTTACTTCACGACGAAAAGCTATGGGGTGGGAGGGGGCGGCAGGAGAAAAGAAATGTAGCAAGGGAGACTATCAGCTCACTTTTTAATCTTAAGGGGAGACTTTAGTAGTCTCCCTTTATTTTTACACACGTACAGTTGAATTAAAATTTGGGAATTTGCCTGAGAAGGACACTCATTGTAAAGGAGAATAGATGTGGTTGTTTTAGATCAGGTGGACCTTTTACTTAGTGTCATTGTCAGATAAATTATAAAAAATACACAAGTGGGTGGTTGGCGGGTGCTCTGGTGTGGTTTGCTCCTTCTTTCCTGTTAAAAATCTATCTTCTCTATCTCACCTCCTTCTTTTTTGTGTTTGTCACTCTCTTGTAACACCTCTAATCTTCTGCTCTTATATGACCTTATTGTGTTGCAAGTGCTGTCAAACTCATACTAAAACTGAAAGTAAAAAATACACAAAGGGGGAAATGGGAAGTGGCTGTTTGAACAGGTGTTGTTGTGGGGTTTTTTAGTAGAGGTTTTGCGGCGCTCGCAACTTCATAAGGTCTATGAGCGCCAGAAGATTAGAGGTGTTACAAGAGAGTAACAAACATAAAAAAGAAGGAGGGGCGATAAGGGCGATAGACGTTTGATAGGAAAGTAGAAGCAAACCACACCAGAGCACCCACCAACCAACCACGATTGTTGTGTACACATGGCTGTTACTGTAAGAGTAGGTTCTGTGGGTGGTTGACGGGTGCTCTGGTATTGTTTGCTCCTCATTTGCTATCAAACATTTTTTGTCCTTATTTCTTCTACTTTTTGTATGCTTGATACCCTCTTGTAAAACCTCAAATCTTCAGCACTTATATGACCTTATTGTGTTGCAAATGCCGTTAAACTCTTACTAAAACTTTAAAAAAATCAAGCAAGCATTCTCTTTTCTTACTCTGAGCTTATGAATTAAATACAATTAATACTGCGCGCAGGCCCTTTC